TTTTTTTTTTTTTTTTTTTTTTATGGAAATCATCCAAAAGGGCCTCGCCTACAACTTTTAAAAAGGTTAGGGGTGACGACTACAACAAATTAAATGTCTGAGGAAAGTCTGTTAATGTTTCAAAAGTTTGGGATTTTTACTGCAATTGTCCCTACTGAAATTGAACATGAACTTCTATTCATAGCATTTTAAAAAAAAAAAATCGTGAGCTAATAAATTACCATGTAAATATAATTAAAATGAAAAAAAAATGAGAAAAAAAAATAAAAGATCTACCACCCACCCCACCCAACCCCCAATAAAGCAGCCACAGTAACCGCCACCGCTATAGCCACAGGGCCTTCTGTTTGCCACAGCCAAATGTATCTCCAATCTTCAACAATGGCATTCTTTAACAAAATCATCTCATTCGCTTCCTCGTCAAAATCAACCCATTTTATGTTAACATTATAAAGTTACAATTTTACCCTTCAATTAAATGGTCAAAACGAGAAAGAACAATGGTTAAAATTATGAGTATGCCAAATCCCAAGTCTAGTGTTTTATTTGATTGGATTACAAATAGATTTTTAATAGATTTTGATAAAAGTTGATAAAATATGTGGTTGAAAAGTTAGCAAAAATTGTAGATCTCACAACATGTATTATTAAAAAAATGAGTTGTAAGAAATGGTGGCCAACAGGGCTAACTATCACAATGATATATTTGTTAAACTTCCATAGCTCTCATTAAACGCGAAAATATCGAATCTTTCCTTTTTCTCCACAATAATTTTATTTTGTATACGCCAAATCAAAAGAATCATGCAGGATTGACTTTCCTAGTTTATAATACGGCTACCTATAATTTTCCAACCAAGCATCGATCAAGCAGTGAGATGCCCTCATCATCAATTTTGTGCTAAGGTGAGAGAGTTGTGTGGGATTCATTGTCTAAGAGAAGGCAGTTGGCATCCAAAGAAGAAGTTGATCGCTCGAGAAAAACCATGGTCGACCACCAAATGATCACCGACAAAGACACCTAAGGTGACTTGAACTCTACATCAAACCGTGGAGGCTTAGAGGGGGACGAATCAACACCAAACTTTTTTCTCTCTATAATTATATTTGATATTAAGCCCCTGTTTGGCATCCTTTTTTTTTTCAATTCTCATTTTGCTACAGTGCCGCCTGACAATTGCTGTGTTTTTTCAGATTTCTTTGTCAGGAAGATTCAACCGTTGAGCCGTGATGGACAATTTCACCCTCAAGGTCAATTGAAATTTTACATCATTGCCCTCCACCATTTTAACAAACATGTGAAAACTACCAACCATCAATTCAAGGGCAAATTTGGCAAATTAAAAAATCCAACACTCTTCTGACAGCCTTCCTTGCATTAATGGTCATTTTTCAAACAAAATCCGTCCTTTATTCAAGCTGGGCCCACAACTGTTGAAGAATGAAATGGAAAAAAACCAAGAAGAATGGATGCCAAACGGGGGCTAAATAAACGTCAAAATACAAGGGAAATAAATAAATTTGTCATAATACTCTACTAAATCTAGTGGAAACAACTATAGAGGAAAACCACTTCTACTCGTTGGTAGGTTTGGGTATTGGGTGATTGGTCCAAGTATTTTTATACTCGAATCACTAATTACACTTCAAGCATTTCGTAAATAGAACCGTTCAAATCTATTTATTACTGAAATTGAACCTGAACTTCTATCCATAACATTTTAAAAATAAAAAGTACAAAAAATAAAAAATAAAGAATCGTGTGCTAATAAATTACCACTTAAATATAATTAAAATGAAAAAAAAAATGAGAAAAGAAATAAAAGATCTACTACGCATCCCTAAAACCAAACCCCCAATAAAGCAGCCACAATCACCTCCACCGCTATCGCCACGCCGCCACCTGTTGGCCACCGCCAAATGCATCTCCAATCTCCAACAATGGCATTCTTCATCAAAATCATCTCATTTGCTTCTTCATCAAATTCCCATATTTTGTTAACATTGTAAGGTTACCAATTTGCCCTTCAATTAAATGGTCAAATTAATGAGTTAAAAATTGAATTTCTTCGCCAACTGATGGATGGATGGATTAATCAAATAAGGATTTGGTGATGGATTAATGCCATCGTGCTTCAGATTTAGTTTATATATGTAGTTTTCTAACTTGTAAATAGCATATGAATAATTAAAAATGGGAATGGACTTATCGCAAAATCGAAATTATAGAACTTCTATTTTTTGTGTTATTTTCGTTTCTAAATTATGGCAGAAGATTGTATATGCCGAATTCAAGAACAAATGGGTCTCTGTGGAAGTCTTTTGTTGTATTATGTGATGTGGTGATTTTATACATTTGAGACTCTTCATTTCTCTATTATACATCATGCATACTTGTTAATGACTTTGTTACAGTGGGTGATTGTTGAGGTGCAAATGCAATAAAATTCAGAAGTTTGGTGGCAGGAATGCCTTCTTGTATATACAAA